AAGACCCTATGGCTTTATCATGTACCAAGTTTGACAAAACATCCTTAGGATATAACGAGCAATTTGGTAAAATAAATTTGTCGCTTTCATTTATGGTTACGGAGGAGATGCACGCACAAGGAAAACAGTGTTCGGGGAGATAACTCCTACAAAGAAAAGTATTGGGTTAAGCAGGGTCAATTTCAAAGGCGCATAAACTGTTCGATATCATATACGAAACATCTAAGCGACACAAGAACAAAATTTGGCGGAAGAAAAAAAATAAATAATCAGAAGAAAACCAATAGGTCTTTCCACAGAAAAGTGGAAAGACCTAATAAAAACCACTTATAGTCGCTCTTTCAACCGACAGTTTGAGAATTGTAGTGTCCTTACAAGTTACACTATCAAACTAATTTTGATCTGAAACAGTCATTTAAATTGAAACAGCTCTTAAAAGACTTCACAACAAAATATGATGTCCTTTCAGTTCTTCAATCAATTTGCAAACTTACCAACTGCGGTAAATACAGTACAGTTAAGACAATTCGCTTGTAGTCAATTAATATCTGTTCAGTCTATGTTCAGAATTTTCAGTAGGTTATATTTACCTGTAGATATCAACAACATACTAAATTATAAAAAGCTTCTGAACAGTACTGAATTGACTGTACGTAAAGTGTTTTAACCGAATTAAGGACCGTGGATAATTCTGAAAAAATACTGAAAGACTGAACATGACTTCAAACTTTTTAGATGACCTAAAGATCAAAATGACCGTTTACGACTCAAATCCATTTACTAGTGTAAAGAATTATATACAAATATTTTAAGTCAGTTCACAAAAAACATATATTTTTGTTGTCAATTTAAATTATCACCTTAAAATCACCAGAAGATCCACGGCTCGTTTAGTTTTTGTCGCATTGAAGTATCTAATTTATTTCGTTGATCAACTGATAATAGCATTATAGTTTGTTTACAATATTAAATACCTGCACTTATAGGGGATTAATATTTCAAACAGTTTGTGTGAACAGAAACCAGTTATTACCGATTAAGATATCATGGTAGCACGTATTGAATTTAATGTTTTTACACAATATGAAGTTGAATCGGTGCGTATTTACAATAACAAATAAACATACTTCTGATACACCAAGAGCAGAGAAAAAAGTGTACAGTCATGTAATATACAATATTGCAATATACAAAATATAAAATTATGTCGATGGATATTATGAAATTAAAAAATTACGACTCTGTAAAGACAGAATCAACTATTTAAATAAAATCCACTGTAAAAGCGAACAAATCAACGACATTTCATTTTAAAACAAAAGTGCAGACTACTTTGTTGATGATACCCGTGGAATGAAATGTCCGCGATCAGGTGTTGTAAGATCTCATCACTGATATCAGTAATACCAAGCTCATAACTTTGTTCGCCAGACGCGCGTTTCATCTACATAACACCCAGGACTGACGCTCGAAACAAGGATAAAATAGTATACCAGAGTATGATGAACAAACTAAATTGACACTTTATTAATATGGTGCGCACTAAACACTTTTCTTGAATTACCTTCATTTTACTTGGATTTCGATTTATGAAATTTGAAGGTTGTTGACGAGGAATTGATTTATGTGGGAGAGGGGGGTTGCTATCGATTTATTTCCTTTTCTTTTGCGCTACATGTACGGTAAACTGTGAAAACGGTAAATTAAAAAGTTCAAACTCAAACTGAAAACATTTGGAAACGTACACGTACTCAATCATCGTGTTAAGTAATTGTATGATATTTATTAAACTGACAAAATTGTAACAACGAAACATGACCATATCAGTTTCAAACATAATAAGCGAAATCACTAGTGATGTGTGGTTTCGACAGACAACGTAAAAAATCACATTATTCAAAACTCAGTGCACTTTCATTTTCATGTTCATGTTTACTAGCAATCAAAGTTTGACCTGAAAGGTCTTTGATCTGAACAGCTTTTACAAAATTGAACATTAATTTATTCATACATTTCAGTCTTTCAGTCAATTTTCAAGAGGTGAAGTTGAAATCATTCCTTGGTAAATTTTACGGACGCCATCACAAATTATTGACCGTTATGGAATATCTGTTTCACAGATGACAACGGATATGTTCCAATTGTCGTAACTACAATTCTATCCCCTTACCCTCGAATATAACCTACCGAATTAGACTTATCACCTGGTTTGTACTAACATGAGCAACATGATGGGTGCCACATATAGAGCGGAATCTCCTTTCTCTTCAGGAGCACCTAAGATTCATTTTTTACCAATCAATATCCCTTGTTAAAATAATTGGCGTGCTCCATTCGTATGTTGGAGTTTTTGATGGGATTCGTGTTTCTCATTCTTTATTTTTCTTTGTTGTGTTTTGTTCACTATTGTGTGTCTGTTTGTATTTTCTGTTTTAGCCATGGCGTTGTCAAAATGACCGTTTCAGACTTAGAATATTTACTAGTGGCTGATAATATGAGTGAGTCGTTAGCGAAAAAAATTAGATCGTTGTCCAGCGGTGTGTCCTACGTAAACCTTGGAAACGAATTAAAGATCAAATATTATAACTAGAAAAAAATATGATTATACATAATACAGAATAATAGAAATCAATAGATACCTGCAATATTAACATAACCAACCAGACAAAATGCCACATCTATGCTTTGTTCAAAATAAATTTGAATCTCTTTCTTTGAATTATAAATCATTGTAAACTTTTGATCGCAAAATTTTTTCCATTTACGATGACTTTAGTGCGTAGACATACCGGCGTGTAGACATGCCTTGCACTCATTAACCTAGACCGAGCTATGGGTAAATAACATCACTGCATTGGGTTTTAACTTGGAAAAATCAAAAGCTAATGGAGTAAACCCAGAAAGAAAAGCTAGGCAGATGGAGCTTGTAAGCAATGTCAGACAATCGTCTATGAAAAGGAAAACCCAGACAGCAAAACTCAATTCTGCAGGTGGTTAGATTCTCTCATTGCTTATTACTAAAAAGTGTAAACATAGATGATTACGGAAACCCAAGATGTCCGGACTTAAAATGCCGACCGATAGATGAAGTGAGGTGAGTTGAACTGTATCTGGACATCAAAATATGATATATGTATCATTTATAATTCTAGAAATAGAGTAAAATTGAGAATGGAAATGGGGAATATGTCAAAGAGACAACAACCCGACCAAAGAGCAGATAACAGCCGAAGGCCACCAATGAGTCTTCAACGCAGCGAGAAAACCCTGCACCCGGAGGTGGTCCTCATCTGGCTTCTAAATAAAATTGTGTACTGGTTCAGTGAAAATGAACGTCATACTAAACTCCAAAACATATAAAGGAACTAAAATTAAAAAAAAAATTACATGACTAACAAAGGCCAGAGGCTCCTGACTTGGTACAGGCGCAAAAATGCGGCGGGGTTAAACCTGTTTGGTGAGATCTCAACCCTCCCCCTATACCTCTAGCCAATGTAGAATAAAGAAACACATAGCAATACGCACAGTAAAACTCAGTTTAAACGAAGTCCGAGTCCGATGTCAGAATAGGTAACAAAAGAAACAAATCAAAATGACAATGATACATACATTAACAAAGGACTACTAGCAGTTACTGACATGCAAGCTCCAGACCTCAATTCAACTGTTTGAAAGATTATGTCTTCATCATATTAAAATCAGTATCATGCCAACAACTGGTTTTAGAATAAATGTGTTTATTTCCGATGCAAAGACCCTATGAGTAAATCAATATCAATACCAAAATATGCAATCCGTAATGATCTGACAACAGTATCGTAACTATATCGCTTCCGAATAAGTATGTTTAAAGATTTGGTTAGCTTTTGAGGTGAATGCCGACATTTTAGTGCTTTGTAAAGAATATTACCATAAAATATTGGATGTGAAATACCTGAACGTATAAGATGTTTGCATGTTGATTTATATTTACGAATGATGTCCTTGTACCGATGATAAAATTTAGTAAATGTTTTGACTAGTTTGTGATATCGAAAACCCTGGTGTAATAATTTTTCAGTAATACAGAGATTTCTTTCGTTGAAATCAAATACGTTGTTACATACACGAGCAAATCGAACACGTTGAGATATATAAACACCATAAGATGGTGACAAGGGAACGTCACCATCTAAAAATGGATAATTAACAATAGGAAATGAAAAATCATCTCTTTTATCATAAATTTTGGTATTAAGCTTCCCGTTAAAGATATAGATATCAAGATCCAACTCAAATGGACAAAAGGAATGGCAAAAAATCTGGCAAGTAATCAGAGCTTTGTATTTGGGAGATATATTCCTTAAATGTAAAGAATGTACGTAAGATAAGCAAAGATTATGAATATTATTTTTGATATTATTTCATAATTCCGTCGCTAGAATTATGATTAAAAATCATACATTGTGTTATGAAAAAAGAAAGTGCCACTAGATTTCCTCTAAATTAAATTTGTCTTGATATGTTTCAGGGTCACGACAAGTGTAGATAAACGACAAAGTAATAATAAAGTCATGACCGCGTCACGCTGCAGAAATTATTTTTGATAACGTTTTATAAACAATTACTCAAGCTGATATGATTTCTGCAGCAAATACGGAATATGTGTAAAAAAGTAGATCGAGAAGTCTTAGATACGATTCAAAAGTTGCATGCGAAACTATGTAAAGATAATATAAAATAAACCATAAGGTGTCGCTTATTAAATTAGCAGCGATTAAATAAACACTTTCTGTGGATTTTGACCCAATTACTGAAAAAAAAAAAGACAATCAAATTCAGTAGAACGTTAATCGTTTGGGGACACTTGTCCAGAATAATTATTAATTATGACAATCTCTTCTTCAGTTAGCAATTCTTGCATTCTATTCTTTAATATTTATAACGTTTAAATACTAATAAAATAAATGCATTGATGCATTAAAAATTATATCTAATGACATCCACAAGGAACGATGTTACCTTTTGGAAGTGAATATATCGGTGTTTTTGCGTGAGCTTTTATATAGACAAGATATAGAAGTGTGTAAATTTCCAAATTAGTCATTGTCAAAATTCACGAAGAAAAGTTTCTTACATTGTAAATATACCTACATTTAACATCCTCATTAGTATGCTAAATGGCTAGATTAAACGGAAGGTGCATTCACATCAGCGTATGTTCTGTGGTAATGTATTACTTATTATTTATAAGCATAATCATTGTTACAAAATAAACAAATCACAGAATTAACACAGTTGTTACGTGGAATTGACTTATAATATAGAGCTTATCCTCTATTATGTAATTATTTCTGATTTTTTTTTTTTTATTTTTAATTGCGCAATTTGTATGTTCTCTTTTAAGTATGAAGTAATTTTTATTATTCGCCCAATCAACTATACATTTTGAACTGATAAATCATGAAAGACAGGATGGAGGAAACTGGCTGAGTGTGTGTAATTCAGATTTTTTAAAGGGAAGGCGTCAGAAACTTTTTGAATAGTACTAGAATAGTTTTCGATCATACAAGTGTTGCTTTCACTTATACTTTATAGATATGACTACTAAAACATATAATCCGCTGACGAGTCTTCCAACGATATAATCACGTATTATATGATACAATGAGACTGATATTGCATTGAGATACTAACGATACTCCATTTGCCAGTAATTTTGCTAAAGTTCGATGGTATAATCCGGGTTCCTGCATGAATAAAGCCTTGCCTCCATGATATATAAGAGGTTTTTAAAGGGGGTGTTAAATACTTACAATTAAACGAATATCATTTTAGGACAATAATATAATTTGCTCAGACTTACAGTAGCACTCAATCTATGTTATTGATACTTGCATCACAGTGATAAATTTCCAAACCAGCTTTATGATATATCAGATAAAAAGTTAGATGTGCCAATGAAACAACTATCCGGCATGGAACTAATAATTATGATGTAATCATATATTTTCTTACACACATCATTAGATTCACATTCTCGTCACCCTGCATTTAATTGGACAACAAAGGAGTGAATAGGAGACAACAACTAAATGATTCTCGAAAAACCCTATATGCCAGAGTCGAAAAATACCAAAGGGATATTGAAACTCATACGTGAAATCACTACTGACACTTCCATGATTAAAAACGAGATACTATCTTAAGACAAACAACACTACATAAAACACAACGTACAATTGCATACTGTCTTAATATCCAAAGAGAAGAAGATTGTTTAAGGTGGTTGTTTCATGTTATATTTAAATATAAAATATGTCTATATATAAGTATCATATATTATGACGTATTGACTGCATGCAGACTGTATATCACCATTTGTAGGTATTCGGCTACATCCGTTTGCTAATTACTTTCGTATATATGTGACAAAAAGTCTTACATATACATAGTGATCAGCATATATAATTTCTCAGGGTATGTAAATTGACACTAATTGGGCTATTAAGATGTAAGCTTTTATTGTATCCACATGATCCAATAATTACATTTTTATATTTATTTTAATATATTAATTTTATTATTAAACTGAGTCATAATTATGGCACATGACAGTTTTCATATGTTACATTGTCTTAAATCACAGTTAACGAATAAAATTTCGAACGTTTTTTTATTTTTTGTTTTTGTTTTCTTTCCTCTTTTTTAATTTATATAAAGCGATGGTTTTTTTCATGTTTCATATAAATTGTTAGGCATTTTGTGATCAAAATTAAAATATTTGTAAATAAAAATGAAGTGTATGATTACTAATAGAACAATTAGGATAAATTCATAAAGTGGTATTGTCAGTTAAAATCAAGTCTATAATAATGTACAGATCTTCCATGTCTCTTATAACATGTGACAACATTAAACAAAACAAAAAAGTATCAGATGAATAGTTATAACAAGCAATCATACCACATCTCATTTTTATATAACAGGATTCTTTATTTTCTGACGATTGGAATACAAATGTTTTAACCGGAAATATATTTTTATCTGATCTAAATCTTTAGCAGAAAGGATATACACCAGATTGTTTTACAGTGGTATGAATGTATTTTATGTCATTCCTAATCGACCACCTTTAAATGGAGATTGTATTTAATGTTTTCAGTTAATCTTCTACTACCTAGCTTCTTTCATGTAATCAAAACTTTTGTCTGAAGCCCGCCTCCGTGTGCGCGATTTTCTCACTGTGTTGAAGACCCTTTGGTGGCATTGGGCTATGTTTTGCTCTTTGGTCGGGTTGTTGTTTCTTTGACACATTCCCCGTTTCTATTCTCAATTTTATGTAATTCTGTTGATTTCGATACTTCGGTACAATTGTCTGTCTTAATTGGGTTAATATTTGCGCCAATTAATTGATGTGGAATTTGTAGTCAAAGTGGAATATAAAAATAAAAATATTAGTTACGAGATGCGAAAGGTCTATTATTTAAGAAAAGTATGAAATATGTTGCTTTATCGGACTTGTCTATTATGAAATATGTGTGTGATGCGTATAATGTCTTTCTCAAATTCATTTTTTAAGATGTCTATCAAAATAAAATAATAAAGTGTCAATAACAAATGAAACAAATAACCGTTAACACATTACTGTTAGAGTCTTATTATTATGTTTCACCGTCAACCAGACAATTATTAAATGACAAGTTCAAAGCATCTAGATTTAAATGAATATAGGAAAAGGTATTTCGTTAAACGCCAACAGGTGTTGGATATAATGTATGTTTACACTTGTGGCTAACATATTCCAGTGTAGGTCATGATATGATACCGGAACAAGTCGCATCAAATAACATGTTATTTAAAACCAGTAATATAAATCGCTGTCTTATTTTTTACCACAGCTCCTAGTTGTTACTTAGGTATTAGTTTAATGTCATATTTTGGTAAGACATTCTAGTAATTATATCAAATAAGACTTCTATTAACCAAACTGCAATCTTTATCCATAAATAGCTCAAGTATGCAAGTAGACATGTATAACCATGATTCACCAATTGAAAAATTGTCTAAAAGAAATAATCCAGCATTATTTTCTACATAAAAATGGTAGCATACGCTAAACATTTATTACTTTGGGATACTATACGGTATATTTTGTTAATAGTGAACAAAGAGGTAAAACATGCTACATAGAGGAAAACGTGATAAGTATGCTGGAGTCGATTATTGACAACATATTTGTTGAATTTGGAGGTAGACTTTTTCAACAAGTTGTAGGCATTCCTATGGAAAAGAACTGTGCGCCTCTACTTTCCGACCTCTTCTTTTTTTTTATATTAGTCGAGTTCCTTCAGACAGTTATCAAAACAAAAAGATCAAAGAAGTCAGATCATTTAATTTCACATTCAGATATATTGATAATGTTCTTTCTTGAACAATCCAAACTTTTCTGATTGAGTTCTATTTATATATCCTTCAGAACAAGAAATTAGAAAAATAACAGACCCAGCTTCCTCCGCCTCAATTTTAGACTTATACCTCAAATTTGACATACGTCGTCATCTCAGTACCAGAATCTATGACGAACGAGACGATTTTAAATTTGAAATTATCAATTTCCCCACACCTTAGTAGCAATATACCAACGTCCCCTGCATATGCAATATACGTTTTCCAACTCATTCGGTATTCAAGAGCTTGCAGCTGCTACCCATACTTTAAAAACGTCCCCAGTGTCTGAGCAGAACGTTGATGAACCAGGGTAATGTCAAAGAACGTTTCGTCCATTTCTTAAAAGGTTCATCGGAAGATACTAAGACCTTGTTGAAAAATATTCCCTATCAACTTTACAAATAATAAATGATGATCTTGTAATATATATCTTAGGTACTGACGTTGTCAATCATCTTAATTACGTGTTATGGTGTTCTTCTATTTGTCTTTGTAAATTATTAACCTTTACTGTTTAGTCCATTTTTGGCAATATCCCTTTGGCGTGGCTCGGTACTTATGCATCCCGTCAATGTGTTCTTGTGCTGTGGTCATATTTTGTATTCTTGTCTATCATTTTTGTCTATATGTCAATTTGCTTTTCTATGAGGACATATTTGTTTGGTTTTTTTATAGTGATAAAGATTATAACACAATGTTGACTACTGTACCCCTACTTTTGACATTTTTACCTATTGTGTCTGTTTGTTTCGTTCACACATTGTCTTCAATATAGTAGAATTTTATGCGACTAAAGCTAGCTATAAAACCAGGTTTAATCCACCATTTTCTACAACAGGAAATGTCTGTACCAAGTCAGGAATATGACAGTTGTTTTCCATTCGTTTGATGTGTTTGAAATTTTGATTTCGCCATTTGATAAAGGACTTTCCGATTTGAATTTTCCTTGAAGTTCGGTATTTTTGGTATTATACTTTTCAACGCTCTCATACCAATTTAAACGAATAGATATACCTTTTTACTGTTATAGATAGAATGTTGATAATACTTTAATATTGTTCACAGACAAGATAGCGTACACTTTTTTTCTTTATTTGTTTTGCTAAATTAGATCAAGATTACAATACTTTAACAAAAACACAGGTGTGACCATAATTTAGGTCAAAAATGAATGAGATTTTTATTTTGAAAATATTAATATATATGGTTGTTTTAGTTTAGTAATTACGATTGACCGATAAAGTATCAATTGCAACAATTATAACTTTTGAAGACAGTACAAAAGGCCATCAAATTATTGTCATGTTTTTGTTGAAGAAAATGTCTTTTAAGTGTCAAAAATATGCACATTATAGTATTGACTTTGCCATGACCATTGTGGTTTAACAGTTCATTAATGAGTGAAACAGGTTCAAACTTTAAATTGAATCTTTAAAGACCTATATGCAATTTTTTTATTGCACTAGTTCGAACATGAAAGATTGTATATTTCTAGTTACGTCGACATAAAGATATGGTGAAGTCCCGTTCGTCATTGTATAAAAATAGAAAATTATTATATTTTATATGACATTCATATCGCATCCTCATTTAGTTAACCTATAATTTTGAAGATACACGGAGACAGAAATCATTATAAACTGTTCTTCAATAATGAATTGGTAGCTTCATTCTATAAGTTTGCATTGTAAATTTTATGCAGAACATATAATTACAAAGGTAAGCTTTAAACTAACTGCAATTAAAGATTCAAGTTGCAAACTTAAGTAGTATTTTTCTAGAAAACCTTTATAATATCTGCATGATTTTTGTAGACATCTCCGGGAAAATACGCATGTTTACTTATTTATTGAAACGATTTTCTTTTGCTTTTCCTTGTGTTTTTAGTAAAATACATGTAGTCAAGTAATATTGCATTTTAATATTACATTGTCTCCGTGAATAACTGTAGCATAAAGAAACACAATTATACTTAAAGTCGATGTTACATTATACTGAGTTTGATAGTTAAAACCTTATGTGTCAGTTGGTCTCAAGTGGAGGATTGTCTTATCTGCAATCATACCAAGTCTTCTTGTTCTTATGTTTTCTCTTTTAATGGCCAAAAATGGCACAGATCATCATATTTAACATGTCGTACTTTTTTTTTATTATATACATGTACTGCGGCGTAGTTAATTTTATATCTTGATAAACCACAAGCTTGATTTAGTACATGAACTATTTTATTTTTTAAATGGTGGTAATTGGTTTACAAAGCGCATAATGAAACTTATAGCTTCGTTATCATTTAAATGTTTTGTCAGGTAAATTTATGACCAAACCACTATTATTGAAACACTTAAAAAAATTAAATGTGCAAATTTAAAGATATACATTTATAGCTCTGGTGCCCCTTTAAATTTACTGATCGAAGTTACAGAATTGATTTATGATTGAAAGCTTAAGTTAAGACTATCGAGAAGGGTTAACTGTCATAACAAGTTGTAAGACCGTAACAAGATAGTATTTTCTTTTGTTTGCGGTTTGATTTGCAACATGACAAATTGAATCAATGTATCAAATATACGTGTGAGCTCAAAAATAAAAATAATGAATGAGATTTTAATCGTGAAAAAAATTAGAGTATTGTTGTCTTGTGTTGTAGCAAATGGACAATCAAAATCTATCAGAACAAACATAAAAGCATAGACAACAAACTTTAAAATGAAATAATAACATTAGGTAAATAAGCTCCTTTCATAAAAAGAAAGTGACAAGATAGTATTTGCTTTTGTTTGCGGGTTTGATTTGCAACATTTTAAATTCAATAAATGTAACAAATATATGGGTGTGTCTAAAATTCAAATTATACATAGGATTGTAATTGTGAAAAACATGGAGGTTATCTAGATAAGTATTGGTGTTTTGTTCTGTTAATTTTGATAGACCGATCGAGTATCAATTGTACTGTTATGATATTATATAAATACAAGAAAGACTATGAAAATCATTTTGATAAAAATATTGTTGAAAATATCACGTATTTATCAATCAACGAAATTTATTTTATTTCTAGATTGTTGTAAAGACCATATGAATAGAATGTTGGCTTACATTACTATGATTGTATTCGTTGTCGATAAAGCATCTACGTCTGGTAAGAAAGTTTATTAATATTTTACATATATAAAATGGTAACGATATCCAACGGAGCTGAGTGGTTTAGTTTCAATACTACAATTTCATCAACAAGATAAGCGTCACCTGTAAAGGCAGCAAAATCCAAACCACATAATGAAATAATTAGTAAAGTACATCCGTTATCATAATGAAATGACATCGTAATTATTTTACTTAACGTTGACACCAATACAAAAGAATTATAACAGGAAGAACTACTCCTTAATGTAGTTATCGTTCCTGATATGTCTTAGCCATGCAAAAATGCAGATTCATACTTTGAACCGTAAGTATTCTTTTTTTTTAAGGTCAAATAAGTATTTTAGTTCTGTTAAAATAAATGACTAGTGCATCCGTTTTGTGACATTATGCACCTTCCTTTTATCTCCACAACACCAATGCAAGTTTAGATAATTTTCAATTTGAATCAATTTTCTATACCAAATTACTTTCAATCCGTCTCGTTAATTCAGGGAATACATTCTTATTGGTCGCATTCAAAATGAAGTAGATTTATCTACGATTTTACAAATTGCTTTTAATAGGTAAGTGTTCATTTGTCAAAATTGACTTTTTTATATTGTCTGTTATAGCAATGCAATGCTTCATTATAGTATAAAATGTATAATGATATTCAATGTGTGACTTCTTCTCTTGCTTCTAAAATATAAAAAAGTGTCATATATTAGAGAAAAGTTGTTGTCTGAATATAGTCAGTGTATTATCCTTATTAAATACATTTATATACATGTTTAGAATTTATGATTAAATTCTCCTTTATCAAAAAATAAACAACTTTTCAGCTTCGTGGAATTTAACAACCTTACCTGTAAGCTTTGGAAAAGACATACTTTTACGGTGCTCCATTGATGACATAAAGGACGGCAATGTATCACTACAACGAGCAGAGCAACGACAATGGACAGGAGGCCAAAACTACGACTTGCTATGTATGAATGGCGAATGCCCAAATCCAAAGAAATATGAAATGTTAACACGAAATACCAGTAAAGATTTTGACTTATTAATTCACAATTTTAGTGAATCAGATTTGGACTACCCGTACACGTGTTCCTGTGGATTTCATGATTTCACTAAGAACCTTTCTATCGAACCAAATCATGTTATGTGTAAGTTATAGAAGATGTACATAATTTTCTGAATTTTACATCATTTATTCTTTTGAGATTTAATAAAAAGAGGCAGGAAATCAAAGTGTATCAGTATTGATAACAAACTTTAAAATGTCTCAACTTCTTTAAGTAAACTATTGTTTTAATTTTCATTCATTTGTCAACGTCACACACATGACACAAAGGTTAGGCGCAATGATATTGAGCCGTATAGTATTGACTCTAGATACATCAAGCAACTAAATAGGCATTTCATATTGTTTGAATAGTTGAATTATTGCATCTTCAACATATAACATTGTAAGGATATACCTTTTATGTTGACTGGTGTTAATTTCCCTTGTAGCTTTACCAGCTATTGCAACAGTAAAAGATAAAAACCATATCAACAATGACTACATGGAAATAGAAATTATGCTTGATAAGGTGAACCCTGTTCCGAGCTGCTCGGCATTGTTTAAGGTGAGGAAGACAAAACTATCTTATGTTATTTTTTTTTTGTCTCGATTACATTCCGAAAAACAGTTTCCATTACGAAAACAAAATAAAACAAGATTAAATGCATTGCCTTATTGTACCATGCCTCTTATTAAAGCAATTTTAGAATGCATTCAAAAAGGTCGGGTATGCGATATATATCGAATATGCATAAACAAATTATTGTCAAACGAAACGTTACTCAAAGAGACTTCCTCCTTTTTTCAGGGTCAGTTTATCAATAAAACAAAAGTAGCTGTTATGAAATGGTACACATATCATACTGATGTTAAGGTGATTTATGATTTTCCAGTAGACGATGTCGGTTGTGAAGGTAGACTGCAAATTCTTTGCACACTTGTGTATCGTAATATTACCATATTTGACGAATACTTAGATATATGTCAAGGTAAGTTTATTCTAATTTTTCTTTATTTGTCTGATTCAATGTTTTACTTCTGTTTTGTTTTGAATTTCATCGTAGTAGTTCATATTTGGTAATTGTTCAATGCGAAATTGATGGTGTATAACGTATCGTACAAAAACCAAACTTCGGCAAAAAGTAACCTGCGTTAAATAACAGGATTCTATTACTCCGACACTATAATTTAATCTGAAGGACATTGTAAATTCCTTCACAGATAAAACAGATCTATTCTTGGCGATCAGGACAGTGATAAAAAAGAGAACTTATTAATTTTTTTTGTTATTGTATCTCCGTTTCACGAAACAAATGTATACTTCATAATTTAATATTCTGTATTCCTTTCTCACAGTGTACATACTTAATGGGTCATCAAACACATATTTTGAGAGTGCTTTTATTGTATATCGTTATACATGTATATACACAAGAAACGATATTTTTGTCACACTTGCTGTTCATTTGATTAAATTTCAGAACGCTATTTTGTATTAAGCTTTATACACATTTACTGCGTAATGTAATGCAGTTCGTGAAATAGTGCAATTTATCGTTTTCATTTTGACCTATTAAAGTACACAAGTACAATGTGATGCAGTCAAACACCAAGTGTGTAAACGGGCGCAAAATGTTAACGAGACAATTCCTTCACGTGCACACCATGTAAAATTCCCGTTTTCTTAGCGTTAACTTCAATATTTTAGTAGACATGAAATGTTCACCTTATTTAATTTCAATGAACCTTCGAGTTAAGATTAAAAAGTCACGTTTTCTATTTTTGTTAAAGGTTAAAACACACACACACACACGCACACACACACTAAGGATAATTTGAGTAAACAAACGAAATATACGTTGTTTACTTTTTATACATTGTGACTTAGATGGAGAGTTGTCTCGTTGACACTCATACCACATCTTCTTATTCATAATGAATGAACGTGGCGTTAACGAGTGTTTTGTAATTTGTCGTATGTTGGGTATCCATCTAACTTTATATTCATTCTTCTTTCAACTTTTTTCACTGATTCTCTTTAAAGTGCTGAAATAATGTTATCTGCAGTTTCATTTGTTCTGATTCTGGATGGCTTTCGAAAAGTATTTATAAAAAATTCTTACATTAAAATTTTCTCTTTTACTTTACTTTAATTTCATTTTTGTTTTTAATTTTTAGAAAATGAAGCAAACATGCTGACAATGATTTTTATTGGTATTGGATGTGTTCCATTTGTTATAATTTTGTCGATTTGCATAAATTTGATTAAAAGTAAGTTTTATAATATATTATTTCATTAACACACATTTTATATCAGTTCGGTTCTTAAATTACAATGTAAAATACAGTAAGTTTCTTGTCACTCGAATTTCACATGAAACAGAAAAAACAGTCATTTGAAACTTTCTCAGAGAATCTTGTTTTCAGTGCATTCTTCATACATATGTTTAGAGTAACCAATACAGAGCTTACCATCACAAATAATAATGTTAAAACGAATACTATAGACGAGTTCCAATAAATGAAATACGCTAAATTAAAAAAAACGGCATGTTTCATAATAATACTAATACTTATATGGGATATTTATTAATACGAATACACTTACGACACAAAATACCAATAAAAAACCATTAAGATTTATTATATCTGTTTTACCGAATACAAAATACGTTTATTTTCATACGAAATGCATGTTACAACCACGCTAATGTCACGTAAGTCACCCATACAATCACTCAGGCGGAATTGGTCTGTAGATGTGAAAATTCGTTGTATGCATGCTGCATCATTTACAACTGATTGGGGGTAAAAAGCATACTCTTATAATAAGTTTGTGCTTTTCTAGATGGCTCATTTTAATTTGTATAGAAATGAATGTTTTCTTTCTCATTTTTTTTTGTGACAAGAGACTTTTTTCGATCTCGTGAGGTGCACTGAATTCGGCAGTATAACTATACATATTAAAAACTCTCGACAGTTAAATAGATAATTCGATTACTGAATTGTATTGTGCTATACAATCACTTTTATGTCTGTAAAAAAAACATATAAATAAAAGTTTAACAATTACTTAAAACCCTAAAATGTTTGCAAATGTTACAGTTTGATAAAAATGCAATCTTAAACAACATAAATTCAATTTTCTGTTTTTTTTTTCTTTTTTTTTTTTGTTTTTTTTTGCTTCCTGGTGAAAGGACGTGATGCACAGCTATGCGTACAATGTTGGACCAATGGAATGACGAACCATGTTGAAAGGACAACTATCAATCAAGCGCAATTAATAGCTTTTTCTGAAATAAACCAGCAAGAAAATGAAACATCGCCAATATTGGATGTCTAGTCAGTATTTTATTCTTATCGTGAACATTTTCGCGTACATCCCCGATGTCAAAATACGTGTGCAATCACGCCACAATAAGAGTATACACTTAAATGACATCCTTTACACAATTTGACATCAGATCAACCGATGTAACTCATTTATAAAAAAATCTCAAGATTATTGTATTTATCAGAACATATTTTAGTAAGACAAACATTGTTTATCACCAAATCAATACATTGTTATTGCTATGCACATCTTCTGCTTGTACGTACAAACAAATGTCATTATTGTCAAGACAAACCATCCATATTTATGATAAAAAAAAAAAGCGCATGCTAATTTTGATTAAATTGTCCTTTTTTGTATACATAAGTGCAAACACAGAGTATTATTTTCCAAATAAAAAGAAACAATCAATATGACAGAGTTAAAGGGAACTTAATTGAATTTTGTTCACTCATAAAATGTTAGACAAAATATATATCATTAAAGTTTTTGCTTTTATTTTACTCAGTTTGAAACTTTCTTTTCGGACTGGAAAAAAAATACGGACAAATGTTTTAAATGAACGACAGAGCAGATACATCAGACAAAATATCATTATCACTGCATCTAATTAGATCTAAACTAAAACACATATTGGCTAAAACATGATCTTTCCTGGCTTTTTCATCATCATCATGTTTTTTTAATACTGTTTATTTAGCAACAATACGGATGAATTTAATACGAAGCCAACGAATCATAAATACCACAAATTATGTGTTCAATTCTACACAAACTTCATCCTTTTATTCAATGGAATTTCACATCTAACGCCAGTTTTAAACCACATTCATCATAGCAATAAATAGCCTAAGAAACAGAACTAGATAAAGTAAACAAAAACATTTGGTGTAATAGATCACAGAATTTATTTTCAAAATATTACTGAGATTCAAATAACCTCATTTGTCATAAATCTTTGTACTAATATGCTATACAATTTTAGCATACCATCTCGTTAAATGGCATCATCTGTAATAATTTTTTATTCGACAAGTATTATTTTAAGGTGCAGCTAAATGTGTTATAAGTGTTGTAAAAAAGTGTACGTATATTTATGATGATTTTGTTATAAATCCTATATGAATGATATTTATTGTGTAAGTGTTTTTGGAAGTGTGATTGTCAAAATGTATGCATTCAATGGAACAATTTAGAAATTGCTCAGCATAATGATAACAACAGTTGACAATCGATGATTTACTAAGGCGTTATTAACACACTCCTGCGCATGCCAGTTTTCTCGGACAAATAATGTAATTTTAAATTTGTTATCTGTTTTCTATGATTTTGTTATTGTTCATTGTTTTTGCAAATATGTTTTGAATACATTCTATCAAAATCACCTGCTGTGTTCCGTTTTATTGCCTGAATTATTCTCACTAATTTATCGAATCATACAAAAGTAAAATTTCCGGAGGAAAATAACACAATACTAGGTTCTATGTTGTTTGTATCAGATATGTCGTCGTGTCTGTTGAGTTTAAATGCAACGAAAATAACGCTTAATAAATTTCGAGCGCCCAAACAGCTTTTCTGCATTTCATAGATTTGAAAACCAGAATTGCATAAATATGTAGAAAAATAGGAGCCATTTGACTTAAAGGCACCTACAGGGAAATGCAAAATTCATCTTTGGTCAACTTGGACTGTGTGATTTGAAGTCTTTATTGCTTTGTAAATTCTTAATCAACCAACTGGGAGTTTTTACAAAAAAAAATGATAATTTTAGTTCCAAAACAATGACTTGACCTGGTGATAACCTCTGAAACAAACCTTTCACCAGCATTTATATCGACTAAGTTCTAGTAAACGAATATAACACCTTATTAATATCATGTGTCCAAATGGCTTTTCAAAATTAACCTTCTTCAAGAACACTCAAACTCAAACATTTGAAAGTAAGTGATGTATAAAAATGTAGAAACGCTAGGAGCTATATAACCTCACAGGACATAATACTAGTAGTCAAATGTATTAAAGGCCAATTTTTTCCCCGTGAAAAACAACGGTTCAGATCTTATTTGATCTAAAGAGGTATAAAACAAGCAGTGCGTGATGTATGCTTACTTTTTCCCACATATCAATGCGTACGGGTAGATATAATAGTTATATAGTATCTATGGCTATATACAACTATTAACATATTTCTTTATTTGAATATTGGCCTTTATTTACTCTTGACATATGATACAAATGGTTATGATTATTTCTAATCGAACACACATGTTGGAAATAGAGGAAGACGATACCACGATAAAGGGGTCAATCAAAACAACAGAGAAGTCGAATACACTGGCAAAACATTGACAAAACAGTTCACAAAACACAACACAGGGAGATAAAGATGAACAAAGCAAGTTCAATTAAATTAAATTTCTGTTTTGTATTGATCTTATGAATTTAGCCTTTTTCAATTGATTTTTATAGTTTGTTCTTATGTTGTGCTGTTACACCACTGTCCCCCGCTCACAAACATGTTTAACCTTGTCAAATTCTTTATGTGCCTGTCCATAGTCAGAAGCCTGTAGTTCAGTGGTTGTCGTTGGTTCATGTCTGTCACATGTCAGGGCCTTTTATCGTCGACTATACGGTATGGTTTTTTCTCATTGTTGAAGGCCGTACGGTTGCCTATAATTTCTTACATCCACTTCATTTGAACTTTGGTGGATAGTTGTTTCATTAGCAATTATACCTCATCTCCTCATTTTTATACTTATTGTGCAACCCTTCTGACCGACTTGCGTGTGTATTCATACAAATCAAAATTAATAACATAAAACAACCTTCTCATCCTCATATCAAATTAAATAAATTTGTGATAAGATATATTGATGATGTCTTGTTACTTAATTACCCTAGTTTTATTTCGAGCTTAGCTTTCATTTCATTTTTCAAAGAAGCTTTGCATTGAGATTGATTGTTGGTTGCTTAACGTCCAGTGGCAAATATTTCATGCATATTCAGGACGAGAACAAATTAACAATAAATACAATAGGTAGGTTCTGTAAGAGGGGCGTCCGGGATTAAGGTCGGAGAAATTTAGACTGCCACGGGAAATGAGGGTATATTGGATAGGGACAGAAATTTAGCCTTGCAACAGGTCACCTACGGACCCCTCAAAGAGTTGTTGCAAGGGTTCTTAACGTGCAAAGAGCGTGGCACTCTCTTTACACGAGGCATCGAATTTAACGTCCCCATTCTGACCGGACGTGGCTGCAAATTTGTACATCCCGCACAGCCAAACGGCCGCCCCACTTTAGCAAGGGTTTTACTGCCGGTCGGAGGAAGACCAATGGTGACCATACTTCTATTCTCCAGTCACCCTTGGGGGCGCTTTGCATTGAGGATAGTCGAGAAAAAAGAAAGTAGGTTTTAGTCAGGAGCATGTAGTCCAGTGGTTGTCGTCGGTTCGGGTCTGTCGTATTTGTTTTTCGCAAATTGTTTTGTTCTAAATTTAGTTTTCTCGTTTGAATTTTTCACATATTTCATGTCGGGGCCTTTTAAAGTCTATTAAATTGTTTGTGCTTTTCTCATGGTTGAAGTCCGTACGGGTGCCCATTATTGCCTACATCCACTTCATTTTAACGTTTGTGGATAGTTGTCTCATAAGCAATGATACCATATCTCCTTATTTTTATATTTATATTTAGGAATTTTTAACAGATGACCATGGTTCTGTTTAAAATTGTCGTATACACAATCCCGTACTTTTGTCCTCGATTGTGGGATCATTGAATGAGACTGATCATCGGATCTGTACTTGTAATAGAACATCGAAAGAGCTTGCACTTTTGATTCTTCTGAAGATTCTCCCGATTTTCTGGTGGGGTTAGTGTTGCTCATACTTTAGTAAAATAACAAAAATACCGAACTCCGAGGAAAATTCTAAACGGCAAGTCCTTAAGCAAATGGCAAAATCAAATGTAGCGCTATGTGGCCTAAAATACAAAAAACAATTGCTTGCTTTTCTGTATTCTGAAATTTTAATTGAGTTTAGTTACGGTTAATTTTATTGATTGCCTCCTTGATTTCAACTATTATATAACTCTTCTTAATGATAAATGTTAATGTGTAATAAAACTGAACTTTAGTTATAAAACATTTATTTTAAAACACATGCTAAAATATTGAAAATATCACTTTGTTAATGTAGTGCGTCCGAAGCGCTTTTCTGGATTGACCTTCAACAGGAACACTCAAAGCTTACTTGCTTCAAGCACAATCCGTATTGTATCTGCATTTTTAGAGTAAACGCAGTATCAGAAATAAAAAATTAAGCTTCATGTATAGCATTAAAGCATTTCATTATAATATATGGAATAATGTTACAGATATATTATCGGGGGATGCAATTTGCGACAAACACAAGTCTTGAGACGAGGTTGGAAATTTTTCAATCTGCCTCTCATCGACTGTAATATTTAAAAATCACCCCTCAAACAAACAAGATATATTTATAGAATCCAGAATTTATTCAAAACGAAAAAAAAATGTTTGCATGTATCTTTGTAATATCGGTAAGGTAATATCTGATTAATTTGTATATATTATAAATTGTGCAAGTGCAAAGTTTAAAATTCACATTACTTTTCAAAACAATACACGTTAAATGTGACAAAATACGTAAAAACCCATAGATAATTCTGTTGACGTCAGTAAAAGTGTACATGTAGTAGTAGTATTATGTCATGTTCAAAATTTTGAAAACGAAGGGGATTTCCCTATTCCCTATTATTTGGTCAACAAATGTGCACGTATATCAAATCTACAAAAAAATATTCAAGTACATTGAAATGTCACTTACTGGTGTTTAAACTGTCTTAAAAAACAAAATTACCTTAGACCGTGTTCACACCAAAGGTCGCGTACAGTAAACCTGTTTATTAGGTTTATGCAATGAACACTGGTTCACATTAAATTTGTTCTCATCTGTTCATCCGTTTTAATTATCTGTACATGACAATTGTTCATACCAGTAAACTACACATAATTTACATATAAATATCATAGCATTCAATACATTATTTCTCTGTAAACTTTTTTATCAGTTAGGCACAGACAGTTTCAGAATTTATTTAGGAGGAAATTGGGGGGGGGGGGGGGGGGGGGGGGAACAATGAAGAGCGGAGGATTCAAAATAGAGTTCAGAAATGTTCTCGTATATTATTTAAAACAATTGTTTGTTTTTATTCATTTAAGTAGTCAAAAATTGTTTTTTCCACATAGATGAATGGTCGGTACCTTGAGCATGTTGAGAACATCGTTCTATTGATTTGGAGAACTTTGAGATTCTAAAGAAGTCAAGATTACGCAGGCTAAAAAGGCGTTACAATAGGCAAAAAAATAATTTTGGAAATGATGGATTGATTGATTGTTGGTGGCAAATATTCAAATCGTGTTCGGGACGAAAACAAATCCACTATGAATAAAATAGACAGGTCCTGTAATAGAGGTTACATCTGTGTAGGTACATGTTTACACCACATCCTCGCGGAATTACATTCACTTAAATTAGTATCCAAACATAAAGTAAATAATATACGTCATGACACTTTATAAAGAAGAATTCCTAAAAACAAAATATAGGTTTATTTTATATTTCAACCAAATGGAGATCGGGGAACTTTTTTGAATTTTTAGACAGCAATGCTCTCCAACTTCGTGTTCGGTTTTTGGCCGTTATTTTTTTTTTTTTTTTTTTTTATTCAAGGACTACTTATGAGTTTTTAACTCGATGATACGCGCTTTTGGTGTGGCAAATTATAAGACTGGTATACGTGACGAGTTTTTGTAGGCTTAAGAATACGAATGTGGCAGGGTTAAATGTGATTAAAATTAATATTCATAGCAATAAATCGGCCAGGCACTATACAACAATGTACATCATAGAGAAGTATTGTGTAAAACAGTTCATTTGAATTTAAACCTTTTTTTTAAAAGGACATGTTTACTTAATAATTGTAGCGTTATCTGTTGTTTAAATTAGAATTAAGTTCAGGTGATCTGAGTTGGTATTCAGAGGGCCATTGGATACAACAGAGCATCCACTTGTCATTTATCTCTTTTATCATCAATGAAGTAAACGTATAACCCTATTTCATTCATTCTGCATTTCAACTTATAACATCATCTATTTGTTTAACACACTTATTTATATGTTGGTCAATATTTGTTTTGGCATAAACGAGATCATTGAACACTTACTTTATCATATATATATATATGTATTGATTTTAAAATTTGTAAATAAAATAAAGTTCAATTAATGTGTATATTGTTGTTGCGGTATACAGTAAATGTATGTCTGAATCACACATTTTAGACAAACAAAAATGTAATAGA